CTTTATAATGTTGACTTTTATGCATCAGAAAATTTTAAAATTTCTTTATAATGTTGAGATAGTTATCAAACGTTTCTTAACAAAAAACTTTATATTGTATCTGTTATTTTCAGTAATTAATCTCTGTACAGGTTTGGTAGATTTGACTGATCTCACAACCACCATAAAAAATTAGGAAATAAATATAAAGTATGCCTCTTTCATTCTAGAATTAACACAAATTATAACACGAAAATATAAATGTTTAGACTAAATAACATAAATCGCATAACGTTATACATTAATATATATTTATTATTTTTATTATATTGGCCTTTTAGCCATGCCTGGCAAACAATACAGAAGTTACAATGACGTGACTCACGTGCACTCATGTTACTGTATCAAATAACATAAAACTGACCTTTGGTTTGTACAAAGTAACTTGTCTTGGCTGTGTTTTAGTCGACTAGTATTTTGTAAAATACAGTGACATTTCAAGTACTATACATCATATACGTATATAGATTATTGCTATTTTACAAATTAGTTAAGCTTTTTTTTACTTAAAACAGAGAAAAGTAAATAAAAAGTAAAGCAAATAATTATCTTCTAGTTACGACCTTTGTACCCAGTTGCTGCTTGATGTAGGTTGCTAAGACTTTTAAAATTTCACACATGGAGAATAAAAAAATATTTTTTTAGGTTTTATATATACAGTTGAATAACCATTAATACACAAATTACTATATCAATACCATAAATTCCACTGTAATTCATCAAGCTTAGTAACTAAGCTGTATTTCAGTCTAAAAAAATATGAAATTTTGAGCAGACTAAAAACACAACCTACCTCCTTAAAATCTTGGTTTGAAAGAAAGAGATGGAATCCAAAAACTTTAAAATGGTTAACAAAGCCACTAGGGGGACATTCTGAGTTTTTGATTGGTTAATCACATGTCATAGACAGAAGTAGGTGTACGTAAGCAAGTATTTCCAAAAATGGAAAGAGATGGGTGGGGTGCCATTGTGTTGGATTCATTACATGAGTAATACCAAATAGAAAAGATAAGAGGTTCTTATTTTATATTCTAACTTGTCAATATCAGTAATTTGAGTTCCTAATTCATACGAAACAATAGATATAGTATTTTGACATCAGAAACATCTAATTTGAACCAGTGCTGCATTCAACACACCGCATGACACAAAAAACTATGTTTAACTATGTTTAAATTGAGTAATGTTCTATACTAAAACTTGAATTATAATCTACAGTTTGATACCAAACTTATTGACATACATTCATGAAATAGTAGGTCAATAAAATTTGTAATGTGAGTCAACAAACGTGACGATATGACCTTTCACCCATGACCCGTTTGGAGAGGGTTATCATGAAAAAAAGGTGGTTAGAAAATTGGCGTTAACAATTTAAACATTCATACTACAGAAGATATGTTGATTACACATTTGTATTTTTTTAAATAAATCTATGTTCATAAATTTCAAAATTATTAATGATATTAATCAAAATTAATAATAGGAGCTGCAGTCTATTAATCAAGTGAAGTGGCAACTATTCATTGATTCCTCCAAAAAGAAGTCTAAATGGTCTAAAGTCTACAAATGGCAACATATATGCATCTGTTCCTATTGCTCATTCGGTTCACTTGAAGGAAACATATGAAAATCTCGAATTTCTTCTTAATAAGGTCAAATACAAAGAACATGATTGGCTATTTAAACGTCCTTTGTATGTTGTTGGATCAACAATCCAGTTATACAAAGTTTCCATGTTTTTTATGTGAATGGGACAGTAGAGCATGAAATCAGCATTGGATAAAGAAGCAATGGCCATGCAGAGTCAGCCTGATACCAAGATAAAAAAACACTGAACGTGAAAGTTTGGTTGACACAAAGAAAGTCTTATTACCTTCACTTCAGACAAAACGGGACTTGATGAAGCAGTTTGTAAAGGCCTTAGACAAAGATGGCAACTGTTTCAAGTATCTTTGTGGGCAATTCCTAGCTCTTTCAGAATCAAAACTTAAAAAATGGATTTTTGTTGGGTCTCAAATTAGGAAATTGACTTCAAATTAACAGTTCGAAAGGACAATGAGGAAAGTTGAAAAAGAAGTGTGGATTGCCTTTAAAGATGTTATTGACAAATGTTTAGGAAACAACAAGAACCCAAACTACAAAAATATTGTCAGTAACATTCTTGATAAATTCAAAGAGTTGGGTTGTAATATGAGCTTGAAAGTTCATTTCTTACACTCACATATTGACTATTTCCCTGAAAATCTCATTGCTGTCAGCAAAGAACTAGGGGAAAGGTTTCATCAAGACATCAGGGAAATGTCCAGGAGGTATCAGAGAAGGTGGAACATCAGCATGATGGCTGATTACTGCTGGTCATTGAAATGAGATGCTCCAGAAGCAATACATAAAAGAAAGACCACAACACATAGTTTTGAGACTAAAAGACATAGATTTCACACAAAAAAAATCATGATGAATGAGGATGCATACTCGTTTGACATCAATGTTCTTCCCTTTTCTTCAGTTTCTTTGTATTTTTTGTTCACAAACATGATAATAAAAAATGTTTATTGTGGTAAATGAAATAATAATTTGATCTAAGTAAGAGTTTTTCTTCATGAATTGTAAAAAATCCTTACATGATAGACAAAAATGAATATTAATTTTTAAATCTGCATAATTTTTAAATCCATTATTAAAACCAAAACAACTTTTATGGCATTTAAATTCTCAGGCCTCTGTAATTATTTTACAAATATGCCACAAATTCATTTCATGAATGTTCTTAATTTTGATTGGCTCACAAAGGAATTTACCAATGTTTGACTGCCTTGATTGCACTTTTCTGCCTCTTTGTTGGTCAAGCTTGATTTCACAAAATTTATTTATTTGAGTTAGCTATAAAATGTGAGGTTAGGGTATACTATGGGGTAAGTTGTAGAACTTACCCCGTTATTTTTGACGGGCCGTATGCTAATCTATATTATATGTTTGAGAAATGTATTGTTAGGGCAGCAAATTAAGATGATGGGAGTAGTTATTTTAGATTCTTGTTTATTATTATGATTAGTTTGTGTTTCTGATTGGTTGGAAACTGTGGCAGCCTATTTTTGAAGTTGGAAGATTCTGAAGTGGAGAAATCACAATTCAGATGTGTCACCTGACACAGAAACATTAAAATAGAGATTTTTGTAATTTTCCTTTTTAAAATTAAGAAGGTAAAACATACATAATATTAAAATTTCAATTATTACCTATGTTTCATGGCAAGTTTACTGACAGACAGTGATAATAAGGTTAATTAAATTTTGAATGTAACACTGTAAAAGATTATGACATCCAATTTTGTGAAATTCAAGAAGGCTTATGGAAGAATGTTTACCTGAGTGCAAACTGCATTAAATTTGCAGTGAATACTGTAAATCCTAGTTTTTTAATACTTTTTATTTATTATTATATTTTAACAAAATTAACTACAATGTAAAAATTATAAACTTATCAGCTTAGCCTAACAGAACTTAGTAAAATAACACATCTACAATTACACTACTTTGAGCATGTGTAACAGGACATCTCATTATCATGTGGTTTTATATTAGCTCTATGAGAAACAGCTAATGGGTTCCCACAGTAATTTATTGCTTATTATGAGCAGAAGTGCTATAGTAGTCACTTCAAAGTACAGCAATAAAACTATAAAATAAAAAAAACAGATGAGAAAAATATTTGAAGTTGAAGCTGTCAAGATAATTAATTTGGATCTTTCTGAAAAATACTAGAGTCAGTGTACAGGAAAAGATGGTATTATTCATCTTATTTCATAGTTTTTCAACTTTTCATTGGTGATTTTGCTGAGGTTACAGTGGAGAAAATAAGTGATAAAGTACAGTTTTACCAAAGCTTTAACATTTATTTAGGAGGTTCTAGAGGTTATGCAATTGAAATATGAAAAATGTAAGATTAAAAGACGAATTTTTTTTTTCTTAGCATGAAAATCACCTTTTACTCTGACCTACTCAATAAAGGCTTTGGAAATTCACACACAAATATTTAGAAAAATACTTTATTAAAAATTTGATTATTTGTGTACAACAAAAGCTTTCCAACTTATATGAAGATACATGTAGTAAATACAAAATTATAACAAATAGCAATATGTTTAGCACCAGATATGGGATTAGTCAATTTGTTCCCCAACCCAAGTTTCTACATTAAGATATAATGTTCCTCAACCCAACAATCCTCATTAAAGTATATTCAACAACTCACGCATTGAGAAGTGACTAGAAATTAGGAAGATGTTAGACGGTATCTTTATTCTGATATTTGCTTAATATCATTACATAAAATAAGGTACATGTACAATATGCTTAGGTTCAACAAGTTGAAACAAACATCAAAACTTATTTCCTTTATATGCAGCTTATTTTATTCAGGGTAGTGAGGAAGATCAGTGTATGAACATAAACTCTCTTATCATTTTGATGATCTGATTTTCTAATCAATATAGTCCAACAATTTTTTTCGGATTTCTTATAAAAGTGATGCAAAATTTATACCATAAGAATCTCAAGCGGCATTATCAACAAATAGTTATCATTTTAGATGTATCCCTTGAGTTATTTTTGTATTTTACAGATAACATTCTGAAAACCTCACTCACTGAGAAACTGTCACATTTCTCTCAACATGTTTACTACTATATTGTTAATGAATATACATCTTGTGAAAAGATTGTACTCACCCAGTGTTGTTTCTAACCCTGAATTAACTTGTAGCAACTCTTGTTTAAGTCTTTCATTTCCTTTCCTCATACTTAGAAGATTAAGTTTTGAACAAACTCGATCATCATCATCATCACTCTCACTGAACTTGGATATAATACCATCTTGTGGGAAATCATCAGACTGTTCATTTTTCAGCCTGATAAGAATATTCTGAAAAAAAAAAAGGCTCGACAACACAAGACTCACATCAATATCTGATAAGTTCCTCCCCAAAAACCAAGCAATATCAGGCCAGCTAATTATTACAAATTAAAATGGTGGTATTTTATGTGAGAAATTATATGACAGTAGGAATTATTTTTACTGAAATGAAGTCCAGAAAGTATCATTACAAGTACAATACAATTCTAAATGCTTCTCTAAGATATATAGTCATTTAGCTCTAACAAAGTTATAAAGGTGTCATGATATAAAAGACTGTTTGGTTTAGATATTATTGATTAATTTATTTTTGTGAGTGAATATTTTATTACTGTTTAATTTTTGTTATAAGAAGAGTAAAAAGCAAATGATTGTAGAATGTTTTGTTAATAATTCATTGATGTTGAGAATATCAAACATCATGTACAATATACTGACATCGAGAATATAGAAGGTGGACAGACGATTAAGTAATAAATATATATAAATAGCGTGAGACTGGCCTAACAATTGACATAGGCCTAATGTTTAATATGTTAGAGTGAAACTACCAGCAGAAAAGGAGATAAGAAAAATAATTTTATTCCATCAAAGTGTGGTTCTAAAGTAATTGAATCAGCCTGAGTGCACTTTGAAAAAAGGAACAGAGGATCTTCAGAAGAAAGAAGACCAAATGATCATGGTAACTCATGCCACAATTGTGAATCACACAGAGAATACTTGTGTGATAGAAATAGAGAAGATAGCTCAGCTTGTCAAGGGAAATTCTAAAGTAATTGAATAGGTCTAAGTGGATATTTGACAAGAAGGAGAGAACTAATATATAGTATTTATGATATGCCTATAATATTTATAGGGTTGAAAAATTTATTGTACATACGTTAACTTGTTCTGAATATATATATTATTTTGAAAACAAGTGAAGTGCGTGCTGTTTATTTATCACTAACAAGTCACAGACACCTACTGTAGAAGAATCCTAAGCCCAACAACAAAAAAAGTATATATTTATACTATTAAGAGATAACTAAAAACCTTTTTATTTTGACAACTGGAGAAATAATAATAATATAATAAATTGTCAAATTTCTGACAAAAGGTATATCTCTTTTTTTACAAATTACCTTTGTCTCCTCTGTTACTTCATCACAGTATTCTTCATGTTCCTTTTTTATCATGTGAAACTCAGAATGAAAGGAGCCTTCTTTTAATAAAGCAACTTCTTCTGATGCTAGAGCCATAAATAATATAAATAGTATATTTATCTGTAACAACAAACTTAAATATACTTAATCTATAGTTTTTCTAGGGAACAAAATATCAATGCTATCCAGTGTAAGACCTCGTGTTAGACAAATAACACTTTTCACATTCATTGCAATAATATTAAGTAAGATATAAAAACTATAAACAGTTTTGTGGGTGTTTTATCCATTTGTCCTTACACCACTTATATAATTTCTACTGTCTCATACTTTCTCACATAAAATTAATAAAACACCACCATTTTTTATTTGAAATAATTAGCTGGCCAGATATTGCCTGGATTAATGGAGAAACTTATCAGGTTTGAGTACGTTATATTAAAATGACTTTGAATACTCATCAACAAGTCACATGATAGCCACAACAGATATATAAAGTTATGGTGGAACAGAGTGTATCAGAACTATAGTTTAACACATTCAACATTCTGGCATTTCTCAGGCATTGTGATGCTAACAAAAAATTGACTGCTTCGAGAAATGTATCTAACAGCCCTTTCTAATACAAAATATTCATCCACAGAGATTATAAAGATGTGTCAAGATCTGGCATGTAGATTTTCCAAGATGGGGATATCCTTTGTACTTAATGACATTAGAAACAAAAAGAAGATGGATAATCTTGGAGAATTAGGACTATCCAAAAAGAGATCTGCAATAAGTTGTACTCCAGCAGTGATAACAATAGTGGGTATCTTGAAACAGGTGAAAAGCTATGAACTCAAATGTCAATGGCAAAGATATTCCAAGTGCTCCAGGCAATAGTACACAACATAATAAAGAAGAATCTCAGATCACCATCTAGAAAAGAAACACAAGTCATGTGTAGACAAGTTGCTTCCATGAGATAGCTGTTCAACCATTGCATGCCTCAAGCAACTGGAAAATGAAATGGATATTTCATATGAAGACATTCCGGTCCAATAGCCAAACAGAACAACTATGTAGGTCTGTGTAATCAGATTGTTGAAATGGGTGCTGGAAAAGTCATCCCCATAGATTAGATGTATTAAAGAAAAATGCTAGGAAAGGGTGTGCACTTTAGATACGAAAACCTTATACTGGAGTCTTTTGCAATAGAAACTATGATGCAGGGCTAGTTTCAAGATGTATGGTTATCAGATAGAGAAAAACTACATGAGGTGAGATGAGGTGTAACATTAAGGAAGACTCTGATATTGTTTTAAAATAATTTATTTGAATCCATCTCTGTACAGGTGGTATTATCCCTCACATCCAAGTATTGCTCTTTTGCACATCATTCAAAATTTAATTAAACAACTTTATTATTGATGTATGCCATTAAACTCTGCAGCAAAGAACAATTTATAATTCAAAGTTTTAAGTTATTTAAGTTTTAACTTCTTAATTTCAAAAATACTTAAAAAATTCTCTATATTTTTCTTATTCTCAGCTTAGCATAAAAAAACTTGAGTAAATAAAATGTCAAAAATTACCCAAGCTAGAGCTAACCAATACACAAGTCACATTTTACTTGCTTCTTCATATTACCAGCACTGGAAACAGCTACTGGTTACTGCTGTAGTTTATTGCTTTGTGGACAGAAGGTTTACTGCTCCAGTGGGTAAAAGTATTGTAATAAAACCATAAAAGAAAACACACATTAAAAGTTTAACAGTTGAAACTTAAAGATAAGTAATTTGAATATTTCTGAAGAATAAACAAGTCTGTTCAGACAAATGAGTAGTATTACTTATTTCATTTCTTATTTTTAAACAGTATAATGATGATCTACAGATTCGAAAATCTAATATGCTGTTAGTGTCGGTGTAGAAAAAATAAGAGACAAAATACAAAATTTTATAAACAAAAATAAAAACCTTTTTTCTTTTTATTTATGAGGTGGTTCTAGAGGTTATGCAAATGAAATATGAAAACTGTAAAATGCATACAAGTATTTTTATTCTTAGCATGAAAATCATCTTTCACTTAGATTCGATAAAAATTTCAAACATTTCAATAAATCTTTCATACAAATAATTCTTAAAACAATCAGCTATTTTATGTACAACAGACTTGTAATGTTTACTAAAAGCTTGCCAAATTTTGTGAAGACACAATTAGTAAAGTTAAAATTTTCCTTACCTCAAAATGTATTTCAGATAAATATCTCTCCACAGAAAAAGCAGCTATTACCTCATGCCACTCCTGTAAAGATTTTATCATATGCAACCTTAAACAAAACTCCAACCCCAACACATGTTAATGCATGCTGTGTGTGTGTTTTTAATAGCAAAGCCACATTGGGCCATCTGTTGTGTCAACCGAGAGGAACTGAATCCCTGATTTTAGCATTGTAAATCTGTAGACTTACCACTGTCCCATCAAGAGACTAATGTGTACCGTAATCGTAATTAGACTATAGTCCTACACCAACAGGAGAGCAATACATCCTCCAGTAAATCAAGAGTAGTAACATTCCAATGTAAAAGAAAAACTGAAAGTGGGGAAGTGTAAGGTTTTTTGGCAAGGTATCTAGATTAAATGCATTTTCAGATAAGGAAAATATTAACTTCAGAAATGCTACTTACCTCTCCACAGAATAAACAACAAAAATCCCACATTGATAAGGTGGTGGAGGGACCACTGTTGATAAAGAAATTAAAGAAATGAGCTCCTTTCTGAAATTATAGCATCAGAAGGTGAAAACTCATGGAGTGTGTCATCTAAGTGAGGGAAACATAGTGGTGCATCACTGAGTGGGAGATCACATCCTCCACAAGCAAGGAATACAATTTGCCTAGTAAAGGTGGTAGAGGAAAATGTGCTGCCAAAAGAACCAGCTGTATGGTCCTAAAGTGTCACATATGTATCAGTATGGAAGATTTCAACAGCCATTATATCACTTGCATCCCAAAGAGAACACAAGACCCATTAATTTGGAATAACCACCAGGAATGATCTGATTATCAGGGTATAGTAGCTTTTACTATGGGTAAATCTCCAATCAGTACTTTCCATCAAGGGATGCACCCACTCAGTCTCACACCAGTGGGGCTAAACTGACCCAAAGGGGAACTCTCTAGTGTCTTGGGACTGGTAAAACAAGATCTCTTCTGTTACTCCAATAGAAAAAAAAAGTGGAGGAGAGGGAAATCCACATAGGTGAAAAAAGCAGAGAAGTGCATGATCAAACAAAAACTTTCTATAATCTGCAAAAATTTCCAGACTGATAGACTGTGCTATGTGTTAACAAAAATAAGGACCGCTGGTGCTAGCCACATGTGAGAGCAGGCTAACATCTGGTGTTGTCTTGTTTTTCTTCAAGAAGAACTATTTAGAAGGTAAAATACACAAACACACACTATCAAATCACTTTTGCAGAAAACTCAATCTCAACAGTGAGCACTGAACAGAGGCAGATGGCCGTAACACTTTCTGATACCTCCCACATGATATAGATTTTAGGATAGAGAAGTATTCCCTATGAGGCATCACTGGCCACATAGTAGGTTCTATCATCTCCAGTATATAGACACAGAGACATAATAATGGTGATGAGAAAGATGGGGAGACTGGAGAATGGCAAATGAAATGGAGAGAAACAAAACCTAGAGGCAGATGAAGCTAGATTATCTTATAAGTATTGAGACAAAAATGTGTCAGGAGTCATCCACACCATGCTTGCAAGATTTCATCTAGGGGATGTTGATGGTAAGAAGCAAGAGAAGACATGAGATGATAACCTTGGTGGAAGGTGATATGAAAAAGTCAAAAGAAGTTTTCTCCCATGGATGAATAAACAAGCTGGAAAAGTTGTTTAACTTAATCAGTGAAAGTGTAGGGGACAAGTCAGGAGAAGAAGAGGAGTCCCATAAAAATAAAATATGTCAACTGCCACATACTTGAGCAGTAGGACCTGAACAGGAAAAAGGAGACAATCAGGGTCAGAACAACTATACAGAGAAGAAATGGAAGGAAATACGATTGGAGAAAACATCCACTCACACTCTCATGCTTTCCAAGGCTTAACTAGGAAGGAGTGGTCCATGAATAAAAATTAACCTATCTCTGTGATAAAGAGTTCAGGTGGCATATAAGGGAAAATGTCAGAGAAATATCTACTGCAAGCAAGAAAAAGATAAAAATATGTCTTGAAAGAAAGATGGTACATGGAGCCAGTGGTTTAAAATAGGAATATGGAAGATCCCAGAGAACTAAACAGAGGTTTCACTCAGGAAGAGGAAGTGGATGAGGGGGATGACTGATGGAAAAGGCTTGAATGAGATCCATAGGAACCAAAGAAAGAAACAAACAATGGCCAGGGAAGAGGTGGAAGGTTGTGTACAAAATCATTCTGTAATAGGCAATAGTAGAAATGGAAAGAAGTCAAAGAGGAAGATAGGCATACAAAAATGAGCGGACCAAACAAGAATAAAAGTATTCAACACTAGAGCTACAGAGTCCAGGAATAGAGACCAAAAGAGTGGAAACTAAATGTTGAGGGGAGCCATTAAGGCAACAATGAAAGGACTCCCAAAGTGGCAGCAAATCCACTGAAAATGCCAGAGGATATAGAGACCAGTATCTGAGAAAGATCTGCTCTAGGTGAGATAGTTAGTCTGGGACATGATAAGCAGACAACTGAATGTGGTGGTTGTTGGCCCAACAGAGAAAATCTAGAGTAATGTAACAGAGATCCTGGGAGCAAGTACTTCCCTGTCAGTTGAGGGTAGAAACAATAATTGAGTTATTGAATAGAACATGGCAAGAAGACTAGACAAATGAGACAAAAAATGATGGCAAACTCATAAGAAGTCAAAATATCAACAATGTTGACACAAAGAGACTTCTGCTTTCATTGAATTTTATTGTTTTACTGCTTTTTGAACCTTGTCTAACTAGAGTAACAAAGCAATACATCACCTGATGGGATCTTACAATAAACAAACTATCAAGTAACGTCATGCAGTAGCAGCTTGGTGCTTTCCTTAAGGAGAAATATTTTTCTTATATAAATTAATCTAACCTAATAAGTTTCTAATTTTTTACATCTTAGTTACTTTCATTAAAAATTATGCTTAAAAAATAATTTTACACTTATGTTAGGCATTCAGGCCATTTGCACTTGGATGCTGTGCTCCAGTAACTCAACTCTTTGTTCACTCTGTTGGTTTTCCAAAATATATTTCATGTAGCTTTCAAATATACATTTCAGAAAACAAATAATACATTAGGCACTAGAAAACAATGTCCCAAAACTACTATAATTTATATGGCTTTCTAACTAAGCTATAAATGGTTTTAAAAATATCATTACTTCTTGAAGCATTTTATGTAGTTCAGAAGATGTTATTCCTATTGCTTATAAGTATGTCTATTACAAATATAGATGTACGTAAATGGCTTCAAATGCATGAAAAGATGGGAGGGTGCTTCTCTGGTTGGTTTTACAAATTTATTGATATCTCAGCAAATCAAGAAATTAATATTTAGTAATTATAATTAGTAGTATATATTATTCCTTGTAAATATGTACAGTAGTGCAGTTTGTGTTTCTAATTGTTTAGGCACTGTAGTAGTTTTACTGTTTAAGAGAGATCAGAGTGCTGACGTGTCATGTGACAGAAGAGTGAGGATTGAGAATTTTTTAAAATATTTCCTTTAGAAATTAAACCTTAAATATCAAAATTTGAATTATAAAGTATGTTTGATACCAGATTTATTGCCATTCATCGATAATAAAGCTATTTAGTTAAATTTTGATTGTAACTCTATAAAAAGGTTAAAAGTTATATTTTCTAAGAAGATGATTGGCTTATGGAATAAGTTGTTCTTCTAAGAACTAAAAGCAAGCATGTTAAAGGAATTAAGGATGGAAATTGAATAATTCCTGAAAAATAAAGGGTGGGGTTTAAATTTTTACATTTCTCAAAGGTGTGTTTGTGTGCAAGGACAGCATCAAAGGACCAAGTGGTCATGCTTTCTGTATATCCTAATTTGTGTTTATTTATGACCATTTAGCCTTTATTACACAACTTACATTATTTCTATGTTTGTTCCATTTCACATTTTATATGTTAGACAAAGCTCCACCTAAATTTGATGATATTATTACTGTAATACCATTACTTAAATTGTTGACACAAAAACATAATCAAACATACACGTTATTTGACTGTAACAAGAAAAAAATGCTGATGCAACAGTATAAAAAATAAGTAAGAAAATATTCTGAACCTCTTTCACATTTTTATTGATTTTTTCTAAGAATGCATAGTGTATATTTAATATATGTTTAGTAAGAACAGAGCCTGAGGCATTTCTAAATACAAACATTCTTATATATTTCAGTTTACTGTACTAAAAAAGACAAACCCATGTGGAACATGTTACTTGTTCAGATTTTCAATTATCAAGTAGAGGCCATAAGTTGGTTGATAAGGGTTAACTGTGTTGAAGGACATAATCATAGTGAAAGCATTACTTAAAATTGCTGACACAGAAACACCACTGAATGTATAAGGCTGTTTGATTATGAAAAAAAATGAAACATTGTTGATAAAACTTTGTAACAAAACAAGAAAGAAAACAGTATTAAATCATTTTCCCTACATTTTCTAAAATCTTGTCACTGTCTTATTTTTACCAAAGAAAACACATTGTATAATTTTCCTATGCAAATGTTCCTCCTTATCTCACAGTTTAATGTACTGAAAAAGACTGACACATATGAAACTTGTTATTTGTTACAGGTGTTCACTTTGAGTAAAGGGTCCTGCTAGTTGGTAAGAGTTAACTGTATTGTAGTATATCAATTAATATGTTAGATAGTTTGAATATCTTAAATCTATACATGACACAGAGTATTGTCATAAACAATTTTATAATTGGCAACACAGTAAAAACCTAAGCCATCAACAACCTTTATGTTGGGGAGTAGTGAAATCTAAAAATGGGAACAATTTATTCTATCACAAAATTTAACAGTTGTGAATGCATGGGTTATCAACAAACAGCAATTAAATCATAATTTTGGTTAAAAAATAAAATCAATTACAGTTCAGTCTCTTTTGGATTTGTGTCATTAGGTTTTTCTTTGCCACAAACACAAATTAAAAAGCAACTAAAAGCACCCTGATAATATAACTGTTAGGCACCTATGAATCATGAGAGCAAATGGTTTTACTCTGTATTAAATGACTTTCCAAATCAGTTATGAATAACCAGGAATGTGGCAAGAAAAAAAATATCCTACTGTTGAGTTATAAAAATGCCACTTACTTCTAGATGTTTTTGTAATTTTTTCTTGACTAATCAGCAATTTAAAATCCAACAAAGCATTCTGTTCATCATTGGAAAATGGTCCGAAGTTTGTACTTAATACTTCCATGGTTAAATCAGTGTCACCCTTTATATTCTTATCTGAAGATTGCAGCTTGACTATGAGAAAATAAGTAATATATCAGAAACTGAACCCTTCTAAAAAGTTGTTAACATCACAAATATTTCAAACAAAGCAAACTTCAAACTTTCATTATCTTGACAACTTCAATGTAAGGAATAAAAGATACATGATTTTATATATTTAAATGATGTTATAATCAATATTATTTTTCAAAAACTAACTCATTTGAAACATAAGTGATGTAATCAATAACCATACAAGGCGATCTTCATGTGCTTCAAAGTTACAGATGCAAGGCTGAGAAAGGTGTTATTCATTTGAAGAATTGTGGTATATATATATATTTTGAAAAGACATATTGCAGTTTTAAGCATTTTGGGGGGTACTATTGTTTGTAACACAGGTAAGTATCAAGTACTAAACAATGGGGGTTAATGAATAAGTTATAAAACTGTTTAATCACTTCGGTAGCCTTGTGCCTATGGCTTTAAAAACACAATAAATGTAAAATGGAGTTTTACCTTGTGAAAAGCTATACCTATAATAAAAAAAATAATACAGCATGATCATATTAATACAACTGATATACTAAACTCTTCAATTATTTCACTTTAAAATATCAAGTTTAACTTTTGAAGTTTTAATGACTCCAAAAAGATGAACCTAAAATTCAAGCTTATTATGCCATGATTCAAAAAAGGCACAAAAATCACAATACAACTTATTAAAAAGGCATTTTGGTATGGTAATAAAATCAGTTTGAAGCCAATAAGACTAGACGACAGAAATTTAAGGCAGTGTTACTTTTCAAGAAATCAACCTAAGGAAGTTTGCTTTTAGATGTGCTAGAAACTGCAACATTGAAGGAGTTCAACAAGAAATTGGATTAGAAGGCCTATCGTAGAGATAATGGAGAAATTGAACATAATAGCTTTCTTTATGTAGGTCAGAATAAAGTGGTAGTAGAAGGTTAGCCTTGACAGGCCAAATTACCCCTTGTAAATGTTAACATTTTCCTCACTTGGAAATACATTTCTGATAGATACTGGCCTCTCTTCACAAGAAAACTATTATTTTTGCCACTAGCCTTGAGCTATCTCCCACCTAATACATGTGTTATAATCATCATGCAACAATGGCCCTCCACCAATAAAAAGGTGACATCCTCCATGCACAATAGATTTCCATAAGAACATGCACTTGAAATTAACTTCATTCTTAGATGAAGCAAGAATAATGTGCATAAGTGGTGGTGGAGGAAAAGTGGGAAAGTGTGCAGAGAGGTAAGTATCTATTGGAAATATATTTTCATGTAAGGAAAATGTGATCTTCTGAAATAAACTTGCTTACTTCTCTGCACACATTAACTAGAATCCCACACTGATGTGGTGGAAGGGTCACTTCAATTGCAAAAACCCAGAGAGTGAGTCAAGTGTAGGATATATGACATGACATGATGTGATCCAGCATCTCCATCCAGGGAGGAATTGATAATCTGGATGGGCGACAAGTCCATTGATTAAGTGCAGAGAAAGAAGAGGAGTCTCCTGACAAGAATAAGCAATTACTGTAACTCCAAAATGGAGCCATACATGCCAAAGTTACACCTGACCACTCAAACTGGTTTCTCTTATTGCGAGAAAATGACCAGATAAATCCTACAAACAAAGATGAAAGGATGACACTCCTAGATAAATGAGGTTGGAGCAAGAGTGACTGAGATGGAGGCAGAGGAAATGGTGTCCTGAATGCCAGTCAGTGAAGAAAAGGAATCCAAGATGGAGCCATCCAGAAAAGTACTCTCAACAAGACCTGAGAAGGGGTGTTGTGACACATGGGAGAAGAAGAAGAACGTACACATACAGAAAAAGATGAGACCAGTCCTGGCTGATTGCATCCACAGCCAAGTGCATGTGTTCACTGGGACTAATGAGTATGGAGGATGTGTCATCCTCCTATTGGTGGAGGTTTACTGTCGCATGATGATTACATCATGCACTAGCACAGTTTATGTTATAACACGTTTTAGGTGGTAAACAGCTCAAGGATTGTGTCATGCACAAAATCTCAAAAGCAAGATGAATGAGGAATGGCTACTGTGTGAAGAGGTAAATCTATCATTTCAGAAGAAAAATCCTTTAAAATAAACATAACAAATCAAAACTTTCTGTATAATTGATCACTGATCTTCCTTCAGCAAAACTGAATACTTGAGTGATGCAACAAAATAACATTTTAAACAAAAATACAAATAATATATAAAACTAACTACCTGTCACATTCCCAGCATCATGCTACATCTATTTTTCATTAAGCTCCACTTCTCAAGACCTGTCACTTTCAATATTCTCAATTCTTAGCAAGGTTCAAAATTGAAGCTTATAAACTAGAAAATGATAATTAAAATATAAATTCCTACTTCGTTTTTACTAGTTAAAATTGAAACCATTAGTTGATAAATCATGAAGGTAATGTTATTTCTAGAACCATAACAACATGTGCACTTCATCATTATTAACTTGCAAAAGCAATATTTAAACAATTTCAATTCTGTAAGAAATTCACTTAATATTGTTAAAAACTTGTTAGTCGTAAAGTTGGTTAAAGAAGATCAAGTACAAGTATCTTTTTGACAACTTGTAAATCATTTTTTTAAATGATATCCTAACTTAAGTATTATACACAAAACACAGGGAATCAAACCTAACTGTCAAGCATCTTGATAACATAAAATTTAAGGACAATAAGAGATATATTGGTAGAGCTGGGCAATTAATGGTATTTGCTGATTGATGGTCTCATTAATGGATTACATTTAATTAATCCACTGGTAGTGTTCATCAAACCATGGTACATACAAGCACAAAAACTTGGCAGCGTGCACTATCAGCCATTTGACTTCCCCATAGTCAGTTGTTCAAGAAGGAAAAAAATATATAGTGACTATGGAAGATGGCCTTAGTAATTTTGTCATAACATAAGCAGAACTAGCTAGTTTGAGAAATCAAACCTGAGAACCTTGAATGACTCATCTCACTGAATCACCAAAGCTATTCAAACTTGAAGGAAAAAAACAATTGATAAGGTTAATATTGGACAGAGCACTGACAGCCCATTACATAGCTTTACCATTAAAAACAAATAAACATAACAGTAATATTTTGATTAATTGGAATAATCAAAATAGTAGTAACAGGAAATCCTAATTTTCATTACTTGGTTATTCTTATGATGACTAATTTAACCCTTTATCATCCATGAAATGTTTTTTTCTATTACTGTACTTGGCATAAATGTATGGATGGAGATATTGTCTAGCATGCATAAGCATACAGATGGAAATGATAAAGGGTTAAACATAATTTCAATTACTAGTTGGAATAATTTAATCATAGCTTTTGTTAATTGATTAGGCTACATGACACTAATCAATGTAATTCCTGATCATAGGTAATTGATTATATCAATTAAATTGCTCTGCTTAACAGTCCATGTAGTCCATTGCCCCCAAAAAAGCCAATTGCCTGTTAGAAAAATAAAAAACTTAGCTAAAGATGAGTCTTACCCTGCCAAAATTTATATACGTGTCCCTTAGTCCTACCATTCTCACTATTAAGTATGAAAAAGATGTATCGATACTATCAATTCCCTTAACCCTTTATCATCTCCACCCATATATTTACGCATGCTAGACATCATCTCCAAGTACGGTAATTGAAAAAAAACATCTATGGATGATAAAGGAGTAACAATCTTAAACACCTCAGTCGGATCCCCTCAAACTCTTCTTTTTTTTGAGAGAGAAAATTATTTCAGAGATTTTAACCTGTCCTTGTATGACAACCTTTCCATCCTGGATATCATCTCATTATCCTTCCTCTCAACATTTTCCAACAATTCAATGTCCTTCCTGAGCATAATACTTCAAATGTGACCTATACAATGAAATTATAACCTAATTATACTTGTGTTCAATATTTCTATAGATACAATCTACAACACTAGCTACAACACATTGATTAAATGGATTAAAATAAGACTGATAAAGCAGAACACAAAGATCCTTTTTTTCCCATAAAACTGTTAAGGTTATTCCAATCAAAACTTTACATATAATTCAAATTATGATAAACCACATGCATTAACTTGCATTTATTATAATAAAAAATCATCTGTAACTTATTTGCCAAACTCGCCAAATAATATAATTCAGTTGCAAAATTCAAAATGGATAATTCTTATTTCAACTCTTCAAATTATTTTTATATTTGCAACCAAAATTTCATTATTCCTGACCCCCCATATGCAGTAAAACATCAACCTATATGAGCACTGATCACTTGAATTTATATGTTCTCCACTATCCACCCTCTCAATCATTTCTATATTGGAAGTTAATAATAAATCTAAAATAACATTGTTCCTAGTAGGTTCCCTGCCCAACTGATGAAGAAAACCATCCTGAATGGTATCTAAAAATCTGTCTTGCTCATTATTTGTCTTTAATATTTCCCAATCTATATGCCTGAAATTAAAATCTCCAATAATTATGATCTCATTAACAGCTGAAAACTTAATCTCCCTGTAGAGTTTCTCATTAATTTCATTTGGTGGTTTAAAACAAATTCCAAAAGCCTTCTCCTCCTATACCCACTGAAAGAAACCCAAATAGATGCAATCTCTTTGCTACTATCTTTGATATTCTATATTTCAACAGAAAGTAATTCACTTTTTACTTATAATGCCACTCTCTCCCTCTTCTTATTATTCTATCTCTATTAAATAACCTATAGCCCTGTATTTCAAAGAAATTTCTGTTATCAAAATCCTTTACACTTAACCAAGTTTCAGTTATAACATTATATCTAAACCTCCATTTCAACTAGTGCTCTAAAGACACCTGTTTTATTTCTTATACTTTTAGCATTACAATAGTAACAATTTAGCCTACCCTTAAAATTATTGCTGTACTCTGTTCCAAAATTTCACTTTTCTCTACACTTTACATTTAGTTTATCCAGGCCCTCATCACTGTCTAGTCATAGTTTAAAGCTTCCCTAAAATCTGAGTTAATAACCCTTGCAAAAAAACCCAGACCCTAACCCTATATAAATATAAGCCACCCATTCATAAAGCTTCCTTCTTCTATCAAATTGATAGTTGTTATCATCCTTTTCTTTAAATGCCTTTATCAACCTTCTGCACTTCTCAATTAGCTCCTTTGATTTACCATTCCCTAAATGCACAACAAATACTGTATCATTGCTAACACCTTTTTTTTATATATCACTTGCTCTGTCAGTTTTGTCCTCCACCCCAGCTACTGAATAGCATAAGCTAGTTCTTTTCTCCCTATTTATCCCACAGACTATCCTATCAACATGGCATATCAAATACTGACCTATAACTGTAACCTGCTTAAATATTTCATTTCTATCACTATTCTGTCCCTTTTGTTTTCTTTCCCTCCCATGGTTTCTCATCAGCACAAGCTAAATGCTAAAATCTGTTACTCATTACAATTAAATCTACTACTAC